AGTTTTTGAATTAATGAAATATAAGAAAATTGATGTGTTGTTTTTACAAGAGACACATACTGATGTATCAAATGCTGTAGACTGGGTAAAAGAATTTGATGGATTAGTGATTTTAAGCCATCATACCTCATTGAGTGAGTGGAGTTGCAGTGTTATTTTCAAAAGATTTTACTCCATACTCTTATAGTATAGAGGAAAAAATGAAAGGAAGGTTGCTGAAGATTAAAGCTGTATTTGAAAATAGTTATTTTGTTTTTGTCTGTGTATACGCTCCAACTATGGCATTGGATGATGTTTTAAATGAGTGTTATAATGATGATTTTTTTAATGTTAGGAGGTTGTACTGAAAATCTCATAGATCGAAATCATGTTGAACCACACATGCAATCCAGAAAGAGGCTAATTCAAATGAAAAAGTCTCATAGCATAATTGATATATGGAGGAATTTCCATGGTATACAGAGACAGTATACTTGGGCTCATGCTCATGAAAATCAGTTATCGCTGGCAAGGCTTGATAGATTCTATGGATTTAAGCATCAATTAAGCATGTTTAGAGAATGTTCAATAAGTCCGGTTTGTTTTTCCAATCACAGCTTGATAAAATGTGTTGTAGCAAAAAGTTTTGTCAAATCAAAAAGTGCTTATTGGCATTTTAACAATAATTTATTATCTGACTTTTTTTTTAGAGAAGTTTTTAAAGAGTTCTGGACAAATGCTAAAGCTATGAAATCATCTTTCTTAACATTGCAGCAGTGGTGGGATTTTGTTAAAATACAAATCAAACAATTGTGTCAACAATATACTCACAACGCCACAAGAGACAAAAATACCTCAATGAGTATGTTAGAAGAAGAGTTGATGAAGCTACAAGAGCTTGCAGAGTCCACAAAAGATGCCACCCATATAGAGCACATAAAAAGGAAAAAAAAAATATTATCTGACATGCTAGGTTGTGGGTTAGGGGAAGGGTTAGGGTTAGGGTTAGGGTTATCCCGTTTTCAAAGTGCAGAATTAATGGATGCTCCTTCTAAATTCTTTTTCAGTCTAGAAAAAAAGAATGGACAGAAAAAGTTAATTCATGCCTTGCAGTCTGAAGAAGGGGATTTGTTGACAAATCCCTCAGATATTAGGAAGAGAGCTGTACTTTTTTATAAAGAGTTGTACAAAAGTGAAATTTCTGAAGAGCAAGATGATAATTTGAATTTTTTTGAAAATTTACCTCAGATAACTAAAAATGCAAATGAGGAAATTAGTAAAACTCTGAGTTTAGTTGAGCTCGAAAATGCCCTTAAAAGAATGGAAAATGGAAAAGCACCAATTCAATTCAATTCAATTCAATTCAATTCAATTTTATTTATATAGCGCCAAATCACAACAACAGTTATCTCACAGCGCTTTTCATAAAAGAGCAGGTCTAGACCGTACTCTGTGATGATATTTACAGAAGCCCAACAGTTCCCACCAAGAGCAAGCACTAGGCGACAGAGGCAAGGAAAAACTTCCTTTTAAGAGGCAGAAACCTCGAGCAGAACCATGGCTCAGGGTGGGCGGCCATCTGCCTCGACCGGTTGGGGTGAGAGAGAGAGAGAGAGAGAGAAAGAGAGAGAGAAAGAGAGTGAAAGAGAGAGAGAGAGAGAAAGAGAGAGAGAGAGAGAGAGAGAGGGATGTAAGGAGAGAGAGAGGGGAGGGAGGCAGCCTACACAATATACACACAGAGGTACAGACAGCGAAGGTAATGTTGCTATAAACTAAATGAAAAATGGTACAGATATTTATAATAGTGTTAATGGTAACCATCATAATGTTAATGATTATAATAACAATAATAAAAATTAGACTAGCAACAATAGTCGTTGCAGTAGAGGGTGTCGAGCAGGAACACGGGGGCAGCAGGCGACCCGCAGCCACAGATCCAGACTCCACAGCTCCAGAGCCAGAAAACCTGCAGGAAGTGATAGGAGGAGAGAGGAGAGGGACGAGAAAGCACAAGACTACCAGAAAGGGGAGAAGTTGTGTTAGTAACATGCAATAATGGGATAAGGTTGCATACAGAGGGAGAGAAAGTAGAGGAGAGAGGAGCTCAGTGCATCATGGGAAATCCCCCGGCAGTCTAGGCCTATAGCAGCATAACTAAGGGATGGTTCAGCACTACCTGAGCCAGCCCTAACTATAAGCTTTATCAAAGAGGAAAGTCTTAAGCCTACTCTTAAATGTGGAGATGGTGTCTGCCTCCTGAACCCAAACTGGAACCTGGTTCCACAGGAGAGGAGCTTGATAGCTGAACGCTGTGGCTCCTAGTCTACTTTTGGAGACTCTAGGAACCGCAAGTAACCCTGCATTCTGGGAGCTCTGGTGGGGTAGTAAGGTACTATGAGCTCTTTAAGATAAGATGGTGCCACCAGGTATTGATGGCATTACAACTGAATTTTATAAATCTTTTTGGGTAGAAATAGGTCCAGAATTATTAACAGTTTTTAATGAGAGTCGGGCAGATGGACAACTGCCTAGAAGCTGCCGTAGAGCAATCATTACTTTATTGCCTAAAAAAGGAGATTTAAACGACATCAAAAATTGGAGACCAGTAAGTTTATTGTGTAATGACTATAAAATATTGTCTAAAGCTTTGGCAATCAGATTGGGGGAAGTCATTGAATCGATTATTCATCCAGATCAGTCATATTGCGTACCAGGAAGGAGAATCTTTGATAATGTTTCTTTTATCAGAGATATTTTTTACTGTGGAAAAATTTTTAACGTAGACTTTGGTATGATATCAATCGATCAAGAGAAGGCTTTCGACAGAGTCGAGCATATTTATTTATGGAGTGTTTTAAAAGCCTTTGGTTTTAGTTCGGAGTTTATTGAAGTGATTAAGATGATGTATTGTGGCGTTGAGAGTATATTAAAGATTAATGGTGACTTATGCTCTTCATTTAGTGTCTACAGGGGTGTCAGACAAGGCTGTGCGCTGTCAGGCATGTTGTACACCTGTGTATGCCAAATTGTGCTACTGTTTTTAAGTTATCAGCATACGCTGATGATGTCATTGTCATAATCAGTGAACCCAACGATGTCAATGTGATGTTGAAGATTTTAGATGATTTTAAAACTCTTTCTTCAGCAAAGGTTAACTGGGAAAAAAGTGAAGCCATACTAGTTGGAAAATGGTAAAAGGTGAACCAAGGGTTCCTGATGGACTAAACTGGACAAGAGATGGTTTTAAATATCTAGGAGTCTTTGTAGGAGATGAAAATGTTGTAAAAAAGAATTTTGAAGGCACTGTTGAAAAGATCAAAGGGCGACTGGATAAGTGGAGGTTTTTACTCCCTAAAATTTCCTATAAAGGCAGAATTTTGATCATAAACAATCTGGTTGCCTCTGCACTTTTACACCGCCTAGCTTGTATAGATCCCCCAGTAGATGTACTGACGAAAATCCAGTCAATTATAATCGATTTCTTCTGGGACAGAATGCACTGGGTATCAAAAAGTGTGTTGTATTTATCAAAAGACGAAGGAGGACTTGGGTTGATACACTTGCAGAGCAGAACGGCTGCATTTCGTCTGCAATACGTACAGAGACTTTTGAAGTGCTCCTCAGAGTCCAGTTGGATGGCGGCTGCCTGTGCGATCCTCCGGAATATCGAAGGGCTAGGACTGGACAAAACTTTATTCTGGTTGGACTCTCAAAGACTGAAAATATCTAATTGTCCAGTTTTTTATCGTAACTTATTAAAAGTTTGGTCTCTGTTTAAGAAAAGTAGGGAAAGCAATGTTGCTTCTCTGTTTTGGCTACTTCGAGAACCATTGGTCGGTGGCTCACGTTTGGATTTATCACGTGAGTTTTCTTTTGCCATACCAGAAAGGACTTTGTGTAACGCCAAGTTGACAGAAATTGGTCATCTACATCAAATAGCAGGACCTGCTTTTAGGAATGTGACCGCGATTGCTGAGCATTTAGGACTCAAATCATGCCGTATAGTAGAAAAAGCACTTGAAAAGTGGAGATCGGCCCTCACTGAGGAAGAGACAGATCTGCTGGATCATTACTCACAGGGGTTAATAAACCCTGATTGTAAAGACCCTTTTCCGAAGTTGGGTATTTCTCCCATTTTGGGAGAACACAACAGCATGTTTTTACATTGTAAAGAAATAATGATTGTGGGTTCAAATGTTGTACTTGGGAAAGAATTGTATAAGGTTTGTGTAAAAGTTTTTAATAAGAAATGTTTAGATAACAAGTGTGATACACCATGGCGAAATATACTTAATCTTGCTGTCGATGAAAAGCCAGAATGTAGAGCCTTGTATAAGTCACCATTGATCAAAAAAACTGGGGATTTACAGTGGAGAGTGTTACATGGTGCTATTGCAGTAAATGCATTCGTCTCCTTGATCAATTCTGAAGTGACTGAAGGCTGCCCTTTTGTTTGGAAAAAGAGACTATTTTTCATGCTTTTATGCACTGTGGGAGGTTAAAACCTTTATTTGATATTTTGAGAAAATTTTTTGATTCTTTTAATGAGGTTTTTTCAATGAAAGTGTTTATTTGTGGATTTAAATATGTGAAGTGTCAATTGTTGAATTTCTTGATAGGTCAGGCAAAAATGGTGATTTATACCACAAGGAAAGAAAAAATTGAGCAAAATGTTTGCAACAGTTTGGTAGCAATTTTTATAAAATTAGTCAAATCTAGGATTTTGATTGATTATCATTATTATAGATTAATGCATGATTTTTTATCCTTTGAGGTAAGATGGTGTCTAAAGAAGGTCCTTTGTGAAATTGTTGAAGAAGAGTTGCTGTTTTCTATCTTTTAAGATTTTTTATTGGTTTTTAAATTAATGATGTTGTTTGGCAGTTTGTAATAGTTATTGTGTATATTGTAATTAAAAAGGGTTTTGAAAATCAAAATCAAATCTCTCTCTCTCTCTCTCTCTCTCTCTCTCTCTCTCTCTCTCTCTCTCTCTCTCTCTCTCTCTCTCTCTCAAACTACAGGTGTCAGACAGCCCGCTGGGTACCCAAAGCCATGGGCTGCACCGCTCCCAGTTGTCACTCAGACATAACGAGACCATCATGAGGTCCACTGACTCAGGGGGATTTTCAACTAATCATTACAGCTGAATGGACAGAAGCTACAGCCAATGGTCAGGGAGCAGTAGACTGAGGACGACGACAAGGATGTGTCCGATCTGTCAGATATCTAGAATTGTTACCATGTTACCCATAAATATTTCAAAAACATTACAATTATATATATATATATATATATATATATATATATATATATACATACATACATACATACACACACACACACACACACACACACACACACACACACTGTATATAAAATAAATTAAACTTCGAAAGCATGATGTCTTTGCATGGTGACACCTCTGGCTCAGGATTTTCAGAGCAGGAAGAAAACTAACTGAAAAATATGTTCAAGCTCTTTGAATGTTTTGTACCTTGCATTAAAACTATTGTACTGCACCACAACTACATTATGAAAGCCTTTGTGAAAGCAAGAATAAACAATGTTTATTTGCTGAGGTCCATCAGTACCATCGGAAGTTAGTTTGACATCAGGATCAGTTTGTTTTCAGAACAGTCTGAGGATTCTCAGGTCCTGGTTATCCAAGGTGGGTTACAATCAAGGACTTGGTTGAAGATACTTGAAGATGTTTCACCTCTCATCCATAGGCTTCTTCAGTAACAACAGTTACTTGGAGTCGGAGTCCCCCGAGGCCAAGTCGGAACGACTGTCATTGGCATTGTCACATTAGGACTAATGTAATGTTATGTTCAATCTACTGGGAAGAGATGAAAGGACAGCATTGTAAGTGGGCAATAAATGGTGTCACAGACTTAGGCGTCACTAGACCCTTTTTAAGGGGGCACGTGCCCCAGTAAAAAGGTCAAGACACCTTGGCGTAGTTTTTGGACATGTAACATCAAACATCTGCAACATCCGCTCAAGTTAGCAATAATAAAAACACGTCTGGTTATGCTTTTAAAATAAAACTACTGGTTAACGTGAAACGGCCCGTTGCTACCATTGTGAAACGTCGCCAAAAAGAAAAACGAGTCAAAGGTGAAAGAGTGTCTGTTACGCTGATGAGAGTATGACGAGGGACTATCCTTCTGGGCACAAGAATTTTCGGGAACAGCAGTCAGGTAAACTTGTGTTCTCTCCTCTCAAAGTCTGATGTCAGCGGATAACAGTAAGTTAATGTGCTAGCTGCATTGAATCTGGCTGGGAAGTTCATCTGTCTGTGTTTTGGTTGCTTGCCAGACTTTGTGTCTGAACAATGTTAGAGTGAAATACAACCTTTTATTATATTTAATAACTGCCGACGGGCCACGGTGTTTATAAACTGCACCTCAGAAAATATAACCGCGTCGCTCGTAAACTTGCGTTCACATGCCCATGCATTAAATGAAACTTGCGCATTCCAGCAGCAACATAAGTGGGACCAGTCCTGACAAGATACATGTGTGATAGCACTCCTCATAGCAACTCATCATTTTAAAACAAGACAGTAATTATCTGTCTCTCAGTCAGCTGGGCAGACAGGGCAATATAGATGCACATGTCTCAGTAAATAATAAACATCAAGTAAGTCAGGTCATATAGTATTTTACATTTGAAAATGTATTAAAGGAGTGGCCCTGACGGAGCTGATAACATTAATATCTGGTTATCAGGATATAAGTATTATTATCTATAAATTACAGTTACTATGCTGAAGTTTGTCAGTAGATGCTGGATCATCAGCCAGTACAAGCAGGTCCCACAGACCCAGGTGAAATACAGGTAGCCTCAGCCAGTAACCTACTAGCACAACCACAGATGTACAGCCAGCGTCAGGTAGAAGCAGCTCAGACTTCTGTTTTTTTCTAGAATACGTTTCCATTCAGACTTATTACAGAGACAGACTGTTTTAAAGGAGGCTTGCAGGGAGAGTCCTGCTGTGTCAGGTATGACTGTGCAGCAATGGCAAATTGTTTACATGGCTCATGAGTCAGGTAGGGAGCTAAACTGAGGCTTTTTGAAGACACAGTCCTGTCCTCTCTCTCTCTCTCTCTCTCTCTTTCTCGCTTGTCATTCACTGGTCTTGTGCAGAGGTTTGCTTGCATGCCGTGCTGCCGACAACTGCACGCATGTTGCGGTTCCTCGTGGGTCTATTTCAAATAGCCGGCTATTTAGAAACAATAAAATATTCTTTGTGTGGTTCATCAACAGTAATAAATTATCCGAGAGTCCTGCAGGTGTGGACAACTCGACACACTCGAATCAAGCTCTGCCCATTGAAGTATCAAATCTTTGACTATTCGGGGTCAGCCCTAGGTACCAGGGAGGTCAGGACTGGCTCTGGGGGTGATGTGTGCTTGTAATCCAGTCAAAGCCCTTTCTGACATGGCAGTGCCAATAAGAATGGGCTAAGCAAGGGAAGAGAAGCTGGTAAAGCAAATACTAACACATTTCATACACAAAAATTTATGGGGGCCTGTGCACCAGTAGAACTTTATGTCTAGCAACGCCCCTGGTTACAGACCTCCTCCTCTGTTGAGAGATATGCTGTACTGGTATTTTCTGTGTTTCCCTGGTTTCCCCTCCTCCGTTGTCTGTCTTGGTGAATGTATGTGTGTCTGTGGTGGGCACAGCTTCATTCCGAGCACCTGGCAGAGCTACTCACCTGAATCCAATCACACAATCATTCCTCTGGTTAAATACTCCTGGTTTCCTGCTACTCACCGCCAGATTCTCCTAACTTTTTGTGGTAGTATACGTCTGGCCAACTTATCACCAGTTAAGCTCTAGAGTTTTGTGATTGTTGCTAGTGCCTTTTTTCCTTATGTTTTCCTGAGTTTTTTCCTGTGCTTGAGGATTCTTGTGCTTACACCAGTTCCTCATCACTCATCTATGCTTAAAGGTTAAGTGTGTAAGTTTTAGTGACATCTAGTGGTTGATGTGTAAATTCTTAGAGCATTATAGTCTAAATTGTCATTATTAATAGAGCAATAATAATCTACATTTATTCATTTAAAGTGTTTTTTTTTTATCATAATCAGTTATGTTATAGTTTAATTGTTAGTGCCTTAAATTATAGCTGTGTGTGTGAGCAAACATGTGTGCTGTGGTAGAGGAGGACACACAGCAGAGTGCGGCAGCACAGTGAGAATGCCCTGTTTCTAGCACACAACACAAAATACACCAGTTTATTCCACAAACTTGTAATAAATCCACCAAATGCTGAAAAGCCAGAAAATGATGAGAGGAAGAGACAACCTAATATCTGGGACTTTCCCCAGATCCAGGTGCAGTAGGAAAGAGAGCCATATAATGCTTAGAAACAGAGCCATAAAAGAAGGTCCAGGAAAAAGTTGAAGGTCAGTTGTTACATGGTTTCATGTCAAGTCAGGTCTCTGTTCTGGTAACAGAATGGGACTTTATTTTGCATCGACCTCTGATCCTCAGCGGTGAAACTTTTGTATTGTAACTGGTGTCTAATTCTGCAACAAATTGCTCACTCACATTAATATAACAAGTGGTGGGTGGTTAGGGGAGCATGGGGGTTGGTGGGCATTTCCCTTTCAAAATGGGTCCTCTTGTTCTGCAGGCTCACTGAGAATGAAACTAGACTCTATTGAATTAAAAAAATATTAATAAAACAAAGAAGGTTAGCTCCATGCAGGGTATTTTTTGTTGTCTCCCACTTTTCAAATGTATGCGGTAAATGAAGGTGTTGAGTATGAAGGTGTTGAAATCTTGTTGAGTATTATTATCTGATGGCGCCCTTACTCAATCTAATAGCTGCGTTTGAATTCATGCAACGCTTTGCAGCAGTGACTTAAAGTGATGCATGCTGGACTTAAAATAAGGCAAACTGGTTAGAAATTTGGTCCGATTTTGACTTGCACTGCAAAACATCATCATGTCACAACATTTAAACCTCACGGGAGCAAGGCAGCTGCAGTTTTCTGCGTCTAGTGACCGCAGTTGCTTTTCTCCGGCTGCGCAAAGTTGGATCCACCTTTTGCCTGATTGATTAGTTATTTTGTTCTAAGCTCATGCACTCTATGAGATCAAGCCTTTATTCTTTTCAAAAGCCAGTAAGGGACAACTCCACTGCAAAAAGAAGCCTGGTTCCATTAGAAAAAATGGCAAAATAAGCTTCCCACACTTTCCTAATGTGTTTTTCTAATGAGTTTATGAACTCAATTGTCAGTTTTGAGTCCTTTTCTATACAGTATGATGTTCATTTAGGGAAAATTTTGGTCCCATTTAGGGAAAGTTGCAGATAAAGCAGGGTAAGCTTTAGGGTCTGACTACATTATGGGTATTTTAAGCCGAATGCCATCAGTTTTAAGCATGGTGTATATAAATTTATTCTTATATATGTCCATAAAATCTGAGAATGGTGCCTTTTGTTAGCCTTCACCACTGATGGTGTTCGGCTTGAATACCAATAAGGCAGTCCAACCCTAAAGCATACTCTGCTTTATAGTGGGAATTGTAAAACTGAAGTAATATACAGTATATCACAAAAGTGCTTGCAAAGTATACGGATAACAAACTGCAGATACCGGAGACAGAACAGGTACAGTTCAAAGACTTAATAATATAGTAAATGGTCTGTAGCTGTATAGCCTGTCTTTGTCTTTCCAACCACTCAAAGCACTTTACACCACATCACATTCACACACATTCATACACTGACAAGCAGGGGCTAAGGCACCAACTGCTCATCAGAAATGGAAATGAACTCATTCACACACCAATAGAACATGTTCACCTTGGGAGCAATTTGGGGTTCAGTGTCTAGTCCAAGGACACATCAACATGCAGACAGTGAGAGCTGGGAATCAAACCATTGACCATCTAATAAGTGGACAACCCCTCTACCCCCTGAGCCAGAGCCGTCCCAGCAGCAAATAAGGAAAAAAAGGCCAATATATGGAGGTCCTCCTGGTGGTTAACTGGATGGGACAGGGGTGGCTGTGGCTCAGGCAGTAGAGCTATAGTGTAGAGTAATAGTGCGCTGCGTAAAATAAAGAACAAAATATAACTACAAGAGATCCCTCCTAACCGAGGGATTACTAAACTACCATGAAAAGAACAAACAAAAACCTCTATAGTCGTTGTTGAAAACAGAAACACAGGGAGCGCAGCACCCCTAAA